ATACCCCCATCTTCATCATCATCATCATAATTGCCACCATAATCGTCACCACTACCATCATCACCACCATCATCATCATGACCAAGCCATATATCACGCAAATCTAACAATAGTCATTATCAGTGTCATCATCATCACCATCATCATCATCAGTAACATCATCATCATCAGCATTCACGCAAGCAAATGACCAACCCGATAAAAAAAGACAAAATTAAATGACATAAATAAAGCAGCTTAATATTCTGAAACAACAACTTCTCTCCAGAATGGCTACAACAAAATTTACCACATCAACAACTACAACAATTACATCAACAACTACAAATACATCAACAACAACAATTCTATCAACAGCAGCAACAATTACATCAACAAAAACAATTATATTAACAGCAACAATTATATTATCAGAACAAACTGAAATTGTGACTATCAATATGACATTACAGTAAAAAATAGCTATAACATCATCAACAACAACAATTACAAAAACAACAACAATTACATCAACAACAACAACTATACTAACAATAACAATTTAACATTGCGAATATCAATATGACGTTACTGTAAAAAATAGCTATAACATCAACAACATCATCAACAACAACACATCACTTAGGTTAAGAGCGTTGTGCCAACATAAGTGAAAATATTTTTAAGATTTTTATCGCAGCCAACATAAACCACGGTGAAAAATTTTTAACAGCAATTAATTGCGTCGTGACAAAAAATTGAAACAAATAGCATAAACAAGAATGACGTCATCGTCAATTTTATTAAAAACGCTCACCTACGCACTACCAAAAAATTTAAAAGTCGAACAATCCTTTGTATAAAAACTTTGAATATTTGTTCATATAAGATATAAAAGAAATCAATTGCAACAACAAATTTGCAACAACAACAACAACAACAATTTCAACTTCTACTACGACTACACTTATGACATTAATTACGACAATAACTACAACAAGTTTGACATCAATAGCAACAACAACTACCTCTAAAACTACAATTACAACGACAAAAACAACATCAACACTTGAAACAGACACTACTATTACTGTTAATACTACTACTACTACTACTACTACTACTACTACTACAATTATTATTATTATTATTTATTATTATTATTATTTATTATTATTATTATTATTATTATTACTACTACTACTACTTCTACTATTATTACTACTACTACTACTTCTACTATTACTACAACAACAACAACAACTACTACTACTACTACTACTACTACTACTACTACTACTACAGGTACTACAACTACATCTATTACTACTGCCGCTGCTACTGCTACTACTACTACCATTTCTACTACATCATCAACAAGAACAACCACAACAACCACTTTAACCACATACAACAAGACGAACAACAAATGACTGATTGATAGATTAATTGCAGCTCTAGAATAAATATTAACACCGACGTAGTTCACGAAAAACATTTGTCCTGACGAAAAATAGTTGCTTCAGTACTAACACAGCTGAAGTGGTGCAAAACAACAACAAAAAATAACATTAAAATTACTTAAATACTAAGATTTAAACAATGTTATGTTATGATACATCCACATAGACATTAGCAACGGAAAACAACAAAAAATAAACAAAAAAATATATTGGCATAAACATAAACAACAATATATAACCGACAATGCATAAAACAAACACAAAAACAGCATGAACAACGTTATAAACAAAAACATAAATATCATGAACAAAACATAGACAACGAAACATGGATAACAAAACATTGACAAAAAAACATAAACAACAAAACATAGACATCAACATAAACACCCAATCAGCCATACTTCCTTCAATATCATCAGTTTCATGATCAGTAGCGCTGCAATATTACCATCACATTGTGGTCATCTTCATCACCATCATTATCATCTTCACCATCATCATCGTCATCATCATCATAACCACGTTATATCATCATCATCATCATCATACGACCA